AAACTGAGGCCCTCACAGGGGCCGCTCTCCGTCCAACACATTGTTAGAGGTCCAACTGTCTTTACGGGCCCCACCCGAGGGGCCCCAGGGTAACTTTGCCCGTCTCTATTCACGCCCCTGGTGGAACAAAACTCCTCCTGGTATAGGACACAGTTCTCCTCTGCTGGAGAGAAAAGTCTCACCCCCCAAAAAAAACAAAAAGTAGCCAAACAAACAGAAGCCATGAGGGGTCACAGCTAAAGCTGGAGCCGAGCAACGACTCTAATGAACGGAATTAAAACCAACTGCCAAGGGCTCGAGCAACAGCCAACTGCTGCTGGGGCTGCAGCCAGTAAACGAGAGAGAGAGAGAGAGAGAGAGAGAGAGAGAGAGAGAGAGAGAGAGAGAGAGAGAGAGAAGTCAATTACTGGCTCTCATTTAGCTGTGCCTTGAGTGGGGGAAAACAAATGGCCTTATTTAAGATAAGACTAATCCTCAGTTTGAGAAGAAAACAGAAGCTTGTGAGGTGAAAGTGTTTCTTCTGCCGGTGGAGACAAAAATAAATGATTCAAAGGTTTGTTGGACAGAAGTATTACGATCTACTCGAGGCTTTCATACATGAACAGAACAACGATGCTGCACCAGCACACATGTTGTTATATTCACATCTGGAGACCATTGCTACACAGTGGTGGATTCATAAATTGAAGTTTTTATGGACATCTTGGTCATTAAACATTCACTTAACTTTACTAAAGTACCGTTATCAGAAATAATTTTTAGGTTATTGTTTGGGATTTACAATGTAATCTACAAAGAGAAAAGGTCAACACTTCCTGCCCGGAGGAGGTTTCGGGGACATTTTAAGGACAGAGGAAGGTAAACAGTAACAAGGCTGCTTGAGCAAGGGACACTTAAATGTGAGAAAAATAAATGACAGGTGTACTGATGGAGAAAGACTGTTGGTGTGAAGCAGGAGAGAGGTTGCTTTGCATGATCAGTGTCAGCGGATAAGCGTCTCCTCCTCCCATCTCTTTGCCGTTTGTCAGATTAGTGTTGCTTCTCACAGCGCAGCCACAAGAATCCTTTGTGACAGGCTGCCAGAGAGCGTTCCCAGAGGATTAGATACGTTCTCCAGGAAACGGCCATCCAGACATCCAGACACTGCTGCAAGCGAGGACACGCAGGGCCACACCAAGGGCCACGAACAGGGCCACACAGAGCCACACAGGGCAACATGCACGGCCACAAGCACGGCCACACAGAGCCACACAAACAGCCACACATAAGGCCATGCAAAGGGCCACACATAAGGCCACGCAAAGGGCCAATATTATCCAAATACGATCTTTATCAAACTAAAGTAAGTAAGTTGTTTCCTGTGAAGACGGAAGACAATGAGGAGTAACTTTTTCGTGAGATATACGAACGGTTGTACGAGGAAATGTTGACACGAATGAAGCAGGTGCCGTAGTTTTCCATATTTTTCAATGTCTCTCTCTCTCTCTCTCTCTCTCTCTCTCTCTCGTAAAAAGCAAACTAGAAACCGAGCTAGATATTTGGTGTTGATGTGGCGAATGCTGGTAGACTCCTTGTTTTTTTGGGGCTACACCACAGTTAAAGCACAAAGCACCACTGATGCAATGAAACGTGAATCACACACCGGCCGGTCTGGATATCACCGGTCAGTTTGCACAGTTAAATATCAGTAAGAGACGTTGACTGCAAGATAAATCATCTCTAATTAGAAAGCATCACTCATGATGTGCAGCGCTGCCACACTCAGGACGCCACTGATTTTAGGAGGAATTGGGAAACATTAGTTTCATACAGGGTGCTTTGGTCCATGCTGTATCTCCTCTGTGGTGCTCATGGGAGATCATTTTATCTTTAGACCTCTGCAGCGAAATTAAGTGTTGTTTTTTACTGTAACATCTAAGCAAAGAGACTGAGCAAAAATGTATAAATGTAGTAATATTAACTGTCTTTTTTTGTCTGCAGCCGTGAAAGGTTGCCTCTCTTTCATGCATAATATATAGAATTAGCATTCTTCTCTGCGCTAACGCTGAGCTCACAGTCACTTCCTGTCTTCTCAGGGCCAGATGTGTGCAGGAGGACATTCGTCTTGGCGGATACCAATCATGTTTTAAGCACATAGAGCCAGATTAAAATCCACAGCCTCCTATCTCCCACGTACACATGGTCGCGCTGAACCCACCCGCTCCGTGTTTCTAACAAAGAGGATGGAGAGGAGTGGGTGGGGGGGGGGTGTACCGTGTAGGCATCGACATCCATCCTCGCTAACCTCTCTCTGGTTCCTTCCCTCTTTCCATCTCTACATACAGTAAATAAATGCACTGAGTCAAGTGTTGCTACGCTGCAGAGTCGAAAGCAACTACATTTTATACTTCAAATGATTAATTATTTAATGTTATTAACGACTTAATACTTTTGATTTGATGAAGTGGAGGTGTTAGAAACGTTGGGGGCATTAACCCTCTTCTATGTTACAGGAATTGGTGACACACAATCCATCGCGTAGTGAAGAGAAAAAAGAAACAGATAATTCCATTTTATAATAAAGTGTTGCTCAACAATGTTTGTGTGAAGTTCAGTACTTCTATAGCAGCCTGATATTAGACAGAGATTTGCAGATTAGAGGGCGTAACTGACTCTGGGAAGTGGATCCGACTCAGCTGGAGGCCGCAGACTCAGCGGGGAACAGTTCCCACATTCTTCATCCTTCCTCATCCTCACCTCACTCCTCACCTTCCTCTCCTCTCCTCGCTGCGTTTCTGGATCTTTGCTCATTTGTCTTCCCTTGATTTCTATTTTTTCCCCTCAGACTTTCATATTTTCCATCTTCGCCTCGCTCCCTCTCTCTTGAGTTCGCTCTCAGCTCATCATCGGCTGCTGTCTTCAGACAGGCGGCTCTAATTTGCATTTACATGACAAACACGAGTTGGATATATTTTCAGAGGTCGGAGAAGACAATGAAAGGGAATGTGACCCAAAACCACAAACAGAGATTCTGATTCATCTGTAATAACCAGTCTGCTAAAACAGACCAGATGTTTCTCCTGTGGACATGTATGTGACACCACACGAGGAAAACAGACACAGAAGGGAGAGAACACGGTGAGCTGAGGTCTTTTTCAGATAAACTGAAGGTTGAGATGATAATCTGTCGTCTTTGGCTGCTGGCAGGAGATCCCTCGACTGGACTCCTCCAAAGACACAAACTGAACGGAGAAATTTACCTTTACATTAAAACTATGATATGAACAGTAGGAAAAGTATTGAAAGGAATCAACTACTTTAATGTGTCAGTTGTACCAACATCGTGTTGCCCGAGTCGACCTGCTCCTTCGGCTCTGAAGCAAGTAAAGTAAATTAAAGGAAATGTGCAGCGCAACACCAAAAGGTCTGACGTTATAGGGCCGTCTTGAGGAGGGTCGTTGTGTCGGAATCTAGTTTTAAGACCGTCATTAATACAGATTTGTGCTGACAGGGTGCATATTGACACATTAAAATTGGTTTAATCAAATTACAAAACCTGTTAAGAGAGAGTGGGAGGAATGAGGCGTTGATAAGTGCCCCGCAGCAGCTTAATGTGGTCATCATGAGGCAAAACTTCCTCTCCCTCTCACCTCTTCTCTCGTGTCTCACAGCCTCTGATGGAATGGGTCTTCAGCCCTCATACCCGAGTTACCCAGACTGACCGTCACGGCCCAGTGATCTCTCCCGTCGTCTTTATGCCCAGAAAAACGGCCATTTCCTTAAATCATTTGTCAAAAACGAGGGGACAAAAGGGATCACGGAGCCCATCGAAAAGGGAACAATGTTTATTAGCGCATCACCCGTCGACCCCCTCCAGGCAGATCCAAGGTTACACACACACACACCGAGCTCCACCTGTCAGGGCTCGTGTTTCTGGAACGTGCACCGCATGTCGGTGAAATGTGTTTTTCGTAGCAAAGAAAAGGGCAGAAATTGATGTTACAACAAAACATTGGCAACACGATTATCGAGGCTTTTTGTTGTTGCTGTGTGCGTGGGGGTGGAGGGGGCGGGGGCGGTGGGGGGGGGGGGTGTTGATTGGTGAAAAGAAAATGTAATTTGGCTGCTTCCCATTAACTCTCTGTAGTCGTTGTGTATCAAGAGTACAAAGGATTCGTGTTTTATTTGATGTCAAAAATCTTCATTTCAACAGAACTGCCACAACGAACGCAGTTCTATATCCCCGTCAACATTCTTTGTTTGACACGACAGAGAGTTGTACGTCGTTGCATAACAGGGCTGTAATACCGATGCAGCCGAACAATAACTTACGTTTCCTCCGATCTGCATTTTGTGCGTCTTTATGTCAGCGCTCGTCTCTCACGCGAGAGTCAAACGGACTGTTCTGTTAATCTCTCTTCACTCGTCTGTGGCACCTGAACGGAGCAGTTATGACATTTTAAGAAAAATGTTTATTCGCTTTCTTGCCGAAGGTTCGATGTTCAGATTGATACCATATCATGTCTGTGTGATAATTATTAAGCAACAGTCGGCTGCTGGTTAGCTTAGCATAAAGACGCAATCCCTGCAAAACAGCAAATAGTCTTTCTTAAACTTCAGTAAACAAACAAGATACAGCATGTTAGTCAGTGCTTAAGAGGATTGTATGGCATTTGCTAGCTGTTTCCCCCCTGTTTCAAGTATTTATGCTAAGCTAAGCTGACAAGGATGTAGCTTTAAATTGACTGCACAGACATGAGAGTGGTATCAATCTGAACATCGAACATATTGCATGTTCACCAAAGCCAAATACTGTCTCCTGTTAAGATGATGCACAGAGTGAAGAGTGAATGTTCTCAACGAAGATTTGTTCTTTTCAAAGGTCCAGTCAGTCGGCTCCAGAGATGAGAACATGACACAAGTTCACACAAACGAACGAGCAAGCACATTCTGACATATCCACACTCGTGGTGACCGAAGAGCATCGTCAGATAAGGTGACAGGGATGTAAATGAACTGACCGCTGATGGTGGCTCTCTTCGGCAGGATGGTGACGGCTCCCACGGCAGCGTCCTCCAGCTGGTGGATGGGACTGTTCTTGGCCCCCCAGCTGTCTGAACCGATCCACAGGAAGTGACCGATCTGGCCCGCCCGTTTACTGGCATTCAGGATACCCCTGTATCCAGACACACACCCCACCACAGAGTCACATGCAGGCAGCCTTTGACGTTCACAGAAAGTTATTTTTCTTTCATAATGGAACTGAACTTTAACGAAGACCAAAAATCTTTGCGTTTGGCTATATTTTAGGACCGACACAATGGGCACCAAGGGGTTCATTTGACTCAACAATCTCAGGTTTTGCCTTAAAACTGTCAATAGTAGCACAAATCGATGTGCAAAACATTCACACATTGTTAACAATCAATGACAAATAGCAATATGAATGTTTTAAGAGCTGTAGAGGAGATTATAACAGTTCAATTCAATTATATTTACACAGCCCAATCTCACGAATCACACATTTGACTTAGGGGGCTTTACAATCCGTGTAACAGACATAAAACCATGTTTTAGTTTGGGTAAAGAACCAAACATTAATATAGAACAACAGCAATAACACCGGGTTATTAAGTTAACACGGTATCCTGTTGGTGCAGAGCTAATGGAAACTTGCAGTGCAGCAAACAAAAAATAAATATAAAAAAGATAACATAATAATAATAATAATAACAATACTAAGGTAAAATAAATGGTCAAAGTTGAAAGCACATTTCTAGGCAGATGTATTTAGTTGTTAAAGTAAACAGTTCAGTCCGTTTAATCAACCTGTACATCTGTCGTCATTCAAACTTAACAGCGTTTAACGAGGAGTCATGTTTACCGGATGTCCTCGTCGGAGGCGAACAGGATGACTGCCCTGGCGTACCGAGTGTCCAGCAGCAGACGGATGATTTTATCAAAGTCGGAGGGTTTGTGGTCGTGAGGGATCTTCAGTGACTGAGCGATACAGATTCCACCTGAGGAGACACAAAACACAGTGAGTCACGGACCGCCTCGCTTCCTGAATGTCTGTATTTCATGATGAAATAAGATTCTGCACAATCACAACCATTTGCTTCCAAACAACCCTTTTCTTCTTTAAAGAAAGGGTTTGTCAAGGGTTCTTTGTGAGACTATGGGTTCCATTGAGAACCCTTTTCATCCAAAGAACCATTAGAATAAGATTGTTGAGAAATACTTCCTGTGAACCCCCCCACGCTAAGAATCCTTGGAATATAAATGGGGTTTTTGGTAGAACCCCCTGAATGGATTCTTGTTAGCACCCTTAGAGGGGGATATGTTCGGGATAGAAGCTCCATAGAGGGTTTGCACCATAGAAGTGCTCTCAGTTGAACCTTTCACAGATGGTTCTCTCCTTTATGTTGAGTTCATGGTTGAACCCTCTGAAAGGTTTCCAGGTGGAACTACATGAAAGGTTCCACCAGGAATCAAAACAAGTTCTGCCATTGGAGTTGAAGAACCCTATAAAGTTCTAGTTGGCACCTTCATTTCCAAGAGTGTGGGTTTGACATAAAACATGTTTTTTATTGATTTTTCTTGTCAATGACCCTTCAAGGGTTCTTCCAAGAGTTTGTCCTAAAGGTTGAAGAAAAGGTTACTGCGATCGAAGAACCTAAGAGACGACTTTAAAGGAGCACACCAGAGGAAAGAGAGCTGTTCCACATTTCATGAAGCCATCGATGTTTCTGCACACAGCCGTCTTAAAAGTGAGAAGGAACTAGGCAGCGAGAGCTCGCGGCTGAGACGTCGTTGGTTTTAATAAATGTCACTCAACCGCACCGTGTGCAGCTTTCTATTTTTTCCTTTTCCTTTCTCAGCATGCCCCGTTTCTCCAGCACACAGTCGAGCGCAGAATCATTATGCATTATACATCTTATCTTATTTCACATCCATAATTGACAACTTATAACTTATAACAATAAAGAATTCATCCTTTCTGACGTCGCATGCATGATGAATATTGCACGACCTGACCTTACCAGCCACCATTAGTACAGTGGCATGTCGGTTGTAAACCTGCGTATAACACGAGAAGGAGTTCACCTTTTAAGTGCTTTTGCTCAGAAATCTGTCCCGGAGATCCTGCAGAACTTCTAACATGTTGACAATATGGACGTCAAATTATTGTAAAGGCTATAATCTACAAAGTCCTCAGTGAGTTAGTCCAGAGTGCAAAGTTCAGCCTCAACAGCTCAACATCGTTTTGCTGTCAGCTGCTCCAACAACAAACAGGAAGTAAAGGCCCACAATCCTCTGCTTCATGAAATCAGTTACACTTTTTCCATTTCCATTCTGAGCGAAATGCCGCTTGATTACCGTACACAGTCACACAATTGTGCGTTTTGTATTTTTATTGAAATATGTATTCCTTCTGATTACAACGACAAAAATCACCTTTAAGTTTGATCATTTATAATCACGAGCTGATGAGAAACGCAGGCTGATTCAATTCCTCCTGGAGTTTCATATCAATAGCATCATCGCAATCAATCCAATAGTTGTTCAATAATAGAGATCTTTGACTCAAAACCACAGACGTGTACCCCATGACACTCCATCCAATAGTGGTCGAGAAATTTCAGTGTGCATGAAAGACAGATAGTCATTACCATCCATTGATGGTAACATGGCCAAAAAACAAAATTCATTCTCATACGACCATTTCATAAATATGCGTCGATGCCGGCATGTAGGTCCACTTCCTGACCCATTCACTAACACCCACGTGCACTAATCACGTCTGGTTCAGGCGGGATCTATAATGAAAAGCAGCGCTGAGGACTTCTGCACAAAGAGTTTGGCCTTTCAGAGCGGCTGCAGTCATTGTGGGTGAGAGGAGGGCAGCGGCTCGGAGGGTTTCTGTCCTCCTCGAATGGCAAACTGGATCAGATATCATGCGGCTTACAAAGAGCACTTCTGGACCGGGAAGTGCCAGCGTTTGGATCCAGTCCTCACATGGAGGCCTTCTGAGCTGTCACATGCAGATACTAAACGTATGATGTTGTCAAAGAGTGAAACACGTTAGATGTAATTATTTTGCCAGGTATGTGAACTGTTGTTGGAGCGTACGTTGCATCGACACATCCAGTCCTTCACGCTACGTTAGACTATAAAACGATTGCATGTTTGAGAAAATGAAGGTAAAGATGATCACATCACATCCCCACTTCCTGTGCAGACAGGAAGTTAAAAGACACAATGACCGTGTCGGGAACGCTTCCTTGTTGCTGAAACACACAAGGTCAATAAGACGAGCTCCACATCGACACGACGAATCCAACTTCAGAGCACTCTCTCCGGAGGAGAAATGTTTATTCCAGCGACCTCTTCACCTCCGCTCCACCGTTCCTGTCTTCTATCAATAATGAATATGTGCCGGCAGACTGCAATGAACCACCGACAGAGATACTCCATTCCAGTGCTCAGAGGTTAATACAATGTTCACAGGGAGTCCATCGTGTTATTACTCGCACCAAATCACCAAATCACCGTTTGTCTTTACTCCTTTCTTTTATGTCAATATACTTTTTTCTGTTTTCTTCTGTTTTGTCTGTTCTTTTCTTCCTTCAAGTACATTGTTTTTATTTTCTGTCCTTTTCTCACTTCTTCGCCTCTTTCTTTCTGTTGTGTTTTACTTCATTAAAGTACATTCAGTCTCTTTTCTATTGTGTTTTCTTCTTCCTTTGTTCTTTCTTTTCTTTTCTTTTCTCAGTCTCTCAAATAACACATTGTCTCATCATCATAGCTGCCTCCATTCTGCTAAATAAAAACAAAACAAAGCAACATTTACTGAAGCACATTACACACATTACACAAGCAGAACAGAACAAGCAACATATTGGACAACCTGTCGTTCTTTTAGAAAATGATCTTTCTTAGTTTTCTTTCTGTTTTTCTATCCTGTCCGTTTTTCTTTTCTTCTCTTACCTCTCTCATTCTCAAATTCTCTTCCTTTTTCTTCACTACTTTCAGTGAAATAGTTTCTCCTTATTCTCTTTTTTATCTCCCTTTTCTTCTTTCTGTAATTCGTCCTCTCTTTTAGATGTTCTTCATTCCTTTCCTTCACGTCCCTCTGCTATTATTTCTCTTCATCCTGTTTTCTTTCTTTCTTTCACTTCATTTATTTATTCCTTTCCTCCTTGCATCGTTCTTTCTTTCCTTCCTTCCTTCTCTCACGGTAGTATACATATATTTAAAAACATTATTTATTCCATGTTTTCTTTGTTTCCATAAAACAAGTCCTCTGTGCATTGCAGTGGTATTTGTAAAGAGTAACATGTAACAGAGCACAAACAGCATCCTCTGAAGAGCTGCTTCTGTGTTGGACAACACGGTCCGTACTTCTGTCTGCTACATGAAGTCCTTTCCTCTCAGAGAGACGCTGAGCTTCTCGTGTTCTGGAGGAGAGAGAGTTTCAATGGGCGTCTAACCGGACCAACAACAATACGTCTGCATTGAGCAGAGAAACCGTCACGACTGAAGGCAGCAGAAACATACTGAGCTCACGACTGCAGAGTTCCAGTCAGGCAGAGAAACACTGAACAAAGTCATCACCTCCTGCTGCTCCCAGACTCTTCAGATCGCTTTTCTCAGAAGAAGACAATTCACTTCCTGTTCCTGCTTCGGAGCAGCTAGAGAAACTACAGTAGGTGAGCAGACAGTGATATCATATCTCATCACATCCTGTGTGCACTCACAGACAGAGATACATCAACACCAGATGATTACAGAGGCTCAGAACGATGATGCTGCAATTACTCAGAATAGGATGTCGAAAATGAATAATGCAAAACAAATAAATGTCATAAATGCAATCAAATATGTAATTATGTTTCTCTTCTTAGCTTACTTTAAGCTTATGTTTTTATTATTAATATCATTATCATCGTTATTATTATTATTATTAATAATATAATCTATTTTCTGCATTGTTATACCTGCTCTCTGATTTTGTATTCTTTCTTTCTGCATCTTATAAAGCTTGAGTCTTGATCAGGTCTCTTTTGCAAAAGAGTTTTCCAACTTAAATGGGATTTAAATAAAATAATATAAATAGAATAATATATAGTATATATGAAACACCGCTGTTCGTTCCTCGTGTAAAAACAAGAACTCAACGTTAATGTTTTTTGTCACGGACTCACCAACATCATTCAGATGAATCTGCCGGGTACCAAAAATGTCCCGACCAACAATCCATGGAGTAGATGTTGAGATGTTTCAGTCTGGGCCGAAGTGGAGCAACAGATCAACAGTGCCTTCCATCAAGTGGGAGATGTTCATTGGGACTCATCATCATCCATCGTTAACAGCTACTGATGTGTGTTGGTGACGTTTACTGTAAAATATGACTGTTACTCATGAGGACGTTATTGTACCTCAAGCTTTTATCATCTGATTAGATAACAAACCTCATTCCTCTGCTGCAGCACAGAGCTTATCCGTTAACGCGGGAAAGCGACAGACATTTACAACCCTCGTGTAGCTGGCAGTGAAGTGAGAGACACACATTAAGTTGATAGACAACCCTCCTTAATTAGGTTCTTCACAGCCTGCTGATGTATCACCTCATCACGGTGCTTTAGGAGCATTCAGAGTCTCCTGCAAAAATAAATGTTTACCACACAACGGATACTTCTCATCATTACCGGCTGATTGATGTATGTATGTAAGTAATATATATATACACATACATACATATATATACATACATATATATACATACATACATACATACATATATACACATACATACATATATACACATACATACATATATACACATACATACATATATACACATACATACATATACACATACATACATATACACATATACACATACATATATATATACATATATACATACATATATACATACATATATATACATACATATATACATATATATATATATACATACATATATACATACATATATACATATATATATACA